AGGTGTATTTTCAAAGTTGTATGTAGAGTGGGCAGGTCTGCAGAATGTGCTCAGGTGTTTGTGGTCCTGTTGAGCCTGCAGTGTCCGGTTTGTAGACGGAAAATTGTTGTATGTTGCTTTCTGTTGAGTCTGCTGATGAGACCTAGATTTTATAGATGAACTGGTACATATGACACAGTCCTCCTTTCGAACAGCGTAAAGGGAATCAAAAATTTAATATTGTCCGTCCAAAAGCACAGTGAAGATCAAAATTTGTTCTTGAATTTAAAGAAAACAAAAATAATGTCCACAGATAAAACTGGCTGTCACCCAAAAATAATAAATGATGAAGAAATTGAAAATGTCGCAAACTTTGAATATCTAGGCTCTATAATAAATAGCAATGGAGACAGTTTGACAGAAATTAAAAGGTGGATGGCCATAGCAATGCAAAGATTTAACAACCTAAAAAGCCTATGGTTAAGCACCAGCAAGGAGATCAAAATTAGAATTTTGAGAGCATGCATCTTCCCTGTGACTACATACCGATGTGAGTCGTGGACTATCTCTCAGTCCTTAAGAAAGAGAATAGGGGCTTTTGAGCTGAAAGGCTATAGAAAGATTCTCAGAATATCTTGCACAAGGAAGATGAGAAATATTGACATCTTAAAAGATCTGAACATCAAGGAAGATTGCATCCTTTCACGAAAGCTGAAATATTTTGGTCATATCAAGCGCCACAACGGATTGGAAAAAATTATAGCAGAAGGCAACACGAAGATGGGCACAGGATATAAGTGACTCCTTGAGTGTGAAAGTGCATGAGGCGGGAGAGCTGACGAGAGACCAAGTTTCTTTCAGGCAGATGTGATGAGAGCGACGTTCTGCAAAGGACCTGCTACATGATGATGATGAGTGTACATGGTGGGTGATGTGGTGAACATCACACTGGCCACGCTGACTTCCCAGGACTGCTCCTGGTACCCACTCAAGACTGGGTCGACTTGGGAGCCAATGTTATTTCTGAAGGTAGCCCAGTTCTGTCAGGACACGAACCCATGACCTTCTGTTCCGCAGTCGAGCGTATAACTTCTACACCACAGCGACTCCCTATATATGCATTGACTGAATGAATGACGGCTTGAATGGTTCATTTATTTATGCATTGACTGAATGAATGATGGCTTGAATGATTCATTTATTTATGCATTGACTGAATGAATGACGGCTTGAATGATTCATTTATTTATGCATTGACTGAATGAATGATGGCTTGAATGATTCATTTATTTATGCATTGACTGAATGAATGATGGCTTGAATGATTCATTTATTTATGCATTGACTGAATGAATGACGGCTTGAATGATTCATTTATTTATGCATTGACTGAATGAATATGGCTTGAATGATTAATTTATTTATGCATTGACTGAATGAATGAAGGCTTGAATGATTCATTTATTTATGCATTGACTGAATGAATGACGGCTTGAATGATTCATTCGTCTGAATTTTCACCGATGAGAGCGTTGACCTCTGCATTAACAGCAACAGGATTCTCTTCTCTACATCGCCTGTTGAGTGTGACAATACAGGAAAATGTAGTTTGAATGAATGATGGCTTGAATGATTAATTTATTTATGCACAGATAAAATGAATGATGGCTTGAATGATTAATTTATTTATGCACAGATAAAATGAATGATGGCTTGAATGATTAATTTATTTATGCATAGATTGAATAAATGATGGCTTGATCAAAAACATGAACAAACTTATGTTCACAAACTGGGCACACAGGCTAATCTTACACCGTGCCCTTCAAAACACTCATCTTTCACACAGCAGTATTACTTTTTATCTATAAACATTTCCATTTCCCAGCAGTAGACACAATATGAATACACAGTAAAGATAAAAGCATTTTTTGTTCATAGCAATAACATAATATCAAAAGTAAAGATCCCTTTTTACGCCTTAGGCGCATTGGGCGTATGGAAAGAGCACCCATATTTTTACAGGCCAATTGGCACTAGGTGTTTAATATGGTCAGCATTATGCCAGCCATCTTTACTTTCCCAGGACATAAATCCTGGCACCCATTTAAGGCTGGGTCGACCTGCGACGCCCCATACTATGATACAAATTCAGGCAGCCAACAGTGGGTTTCGATTGCGGTATGTTGGAATTACAAGTCGGGCTCGAAACACCTAAGCCACAGACATCGCATACATAATATCAATGATATAGTAAAAACACAAATCAAGGAAGACAAATGTGCGTGCATGCATGCAAGCACACACGCACGTACACACTCATATACAAAATGTATAAATGAATAGACCAAATAAATGATGGCTTGACTCAGTGGTGTAAAAGAATCTTTAGCCATACCTTTAAGCACACTAGGCATATAGGGGGCTAGACCTATATTTTATGGACCAGTCGGCACTCTGTGTGGTCAACATCATGCCGACCGCACTAGTGTACAGAGCATAAATTAAACGAATGATGGATTGATTTTGATCCGGGTGCTCGGAGCAGGACTGGCTAAATGAATACATTGTTGTAGGCGACGGTCAGTCCCTAGGCATTACGGAGCTGTACCCCTGGTTTTGGGACAAGCATCTGCTATGACAGTAAAGTTCTATGGGGTAGTGAAACTCTCTGCCATACAGACTATATAAATACGTTGATACTCTTATTATACATATACTGAAGCATTGTGAGATCAGAAACTGGCACTCGCAGCTTGGATAGATTTAAGGAAAGCTGATGATAAGGTTTGGAGTAAGAGGCGGATACAAAAAATAAGACACTGTAAAATGAACGGGAGTATGTACAAGTGGATTATAGTATACTTAACAACAGAAAACTCCAAGAATAGACAGATGGTTTCAAGTTAACACACACACAAAAGTCCTGCTTGGATATGATGTCCCCATGTACTTCAAGCGCTCTGTTCTGGAAAACTACCAGAATCAAAACACTACATTCAACTGTCAGCAGTCAAAATACAGTGGATCCCTCTCCCACTGTGGTCCCTGCATGGGTTCCAGGGCCCCATTATGGGGAGCAATAAGAATAGACCCACCATCTATCCAACACGTATGTTGATGGAGTCAACTAACTGGGAGGATTCCTTTGAAGTTAGAGTACATCTGCCTGAGTGGCAAGGAACTAACAGTCTGCAAACAAATAAGCCAGATCTGGAACAGGACTAGAGTCCAGAAGTGGATGAACAGCAAGAAGTTTTCACTGGAGTTTTCAGCTAGCGAACGCTAAGAAGAAGAAGAAGAAGAAAAAGAAGTAAAAAAAAAGAAGAATTATTTGGCTTCAGAGTTCAAGAGCTGGACATTACAGAATGAAGCCATTTCAATCATTCACTGTTGAGTACCTATGCTGATTCAGCTCCAGTGTTCAAGTTAAGAAGAGGACCTATACACCAAAGTAACTGCACCAATAATTGTTGAGTAGACACAACCATACTGTAGCAAGTATCCCTTTACAGGCTGGATTCAAACACTGCCTCTGTTGAGTAGACAGAACCATATGTTGAGTAGACAGAACCATATGTTGAGTAGACATTACCATATGTTGAGTAGACATAACCATATGTTGAGTAGACATAACCATATGTTGAGTAGACATAACCATATGTTGAGTAGACATAACCATATGTTGAGTAGACACAACCATATGTTGAGTAGACACAACCAGGCTAGATTAGACACTAACCATATGTTGAGTAGACATAACTACATGTTGAGTAGACACAACCATACTGTAGCAAGTATCTCTTTACAGGCTAGATTCAAACACTGCCTCTGTTGAGTAGACATAACCATATGTTGAGTAGACATAACCATATGTTGAGTAGACACAACCATATGTTGAGTAGACATAACCATATGTTGAGTAGACATAACCACATGTTGAGTAGACACAACCATACTGTAGCAAGTATCCCTTTACAGGCTAGATTCAAACACTGCCTCTGTTGAGTAGACATAACCATTTGTTGAGTAGACATAACCATATGTTGACTAGACACAACCATATGTTGAGTAGACATAACAATATGTTGAGTAGACATAACCATACTGTAGCAAGTATCCCTTTACAGGCTAGATTCAAACACTGCCTCTGTTGAGTAGACAGAACCATATGTTGAGTAGACATAACCATATGTTGAGTAGACATAACCATAGTGTAGCAAGTATCCCTTTACAGGCTAGACTCAAACACTGCCTCTGTTGAGTAGACATAACCGTATGTTGAGTAGACACAATCATATGTTCAGTAGACCTAACCATATGTTGAGTAGACACAACCATACTGTAGCTATTATTTCTTTACAGTCTAGACTCAAACACTGCCTGTTGAGTAAACATAACCATATGTTGAGTAGTCACAACCATATGTTGAGTTGACCTAACCATATGTTGAGTAGACATAACCATATGTTGAGTAGACATAACCATATGTTGAGTAGACATAACCATAGTGTAGCAAGTATTCCTTTACAGGCTAGACTCAAACACTGCCTCTGTTGAGTAGACATAACCGTATGTTGAGTAGACACAATCATATGTTCAGTAGACCTAACCATATGTTGAGTAGACGCAACCATACTGTAGCTATTATTTCTTTACAGTCTAGACTCAAACACTGCCTGTTGAGTAAACATAACCATATGTTGAGTAGTCACAACCATATGTTGAGTTGACCTAACCATATGTTGAGTAGACAAAACCATATGTTGAGTAGACATAACCATATGTTGAGTAGACATAACCATATGTTGAGTAGACATAACCATATGTTGAGTAGACAGAACCATACTGTAGCTAGTATCCCTTTACAGGCTAGACTCAAACACTGCCTCTGTTGAGTAGACATAATCATATGTTGAGTAGACACAACCAAACTGTAGCTAGTATCCCTTTACAGGCAACACAAACACTGACTCGGCTGAGTGGACAAACTGTCCATCACCTGGTTATGAACCCAACGATTAAACCAAGGCAGCATTGCCAGGGTTGTGCACAGCCTTGTACTGCAAACATGGCAGCAGACGTTGCTTCCAGCAGAACAAAGCCACTGCTGCCACAATTACTATCAACGCCAGGACAATAAAGACAACCCAGCCAGCTGATATACCATCATTGCCTGTTTGTACTGACAGCTCTCTCTTAATTTTCTCTAGAAGACTGTCTGGAGACCCTTGGTAGTCAGCAAAAACATAGCGAAACATTTCTGGAACTTCAGAAAAGGAATTATTCCCCCGCTGGAAACGGAAAGTTAGTGAGTGTAGGCCAGTGCGACCACACCAAGCGTGCAACTGCTTCGCTTTGTGGTCGGTACACTTTAAAGCATATTCAGCATTTTGTAATGGAGACAGAATACTAACCATCCAGTTGCTGTCACAACTCAACTGATTTGATGGAATATAAACAAAGCAGATACTTTTATTATTCGCATTCTTGTGTATTTCTAAATTACAAGAATCTGATACATTTCTTAAAGAAAGATCGACTGCCGGTGCCATGTTGAAAATGCTGACCTGGCTATTATAAAGGTCGTAAGAATGTTCACAGTATGTGTCATCCAGATACAACTGTCGCTCCCTGCTCTCGATATCTAATATCTTTAAATTTATAAACACTTTGCGGATATCAACCCTTGCAGTTCTATTGATACTTCGTAAATAGAAGTTGACATATCGTGACTGTGTGCAGTACTCTCTCTGCAACCACCTGCCTTGATACCCCAGAGCAAAGATCTGCGGAGATTCATCTGTGTCGTGTCCATCATGAATGAGAAGTTCGGCATTAGGGTCACCGATCTCACTTACTCTCCCTTCCTGAACAATGCACAGCCTGCCATCATCTCGTTTGGAATAAAAGTTTGTCTCGCAGTTGCGGAAAGTTTTTGTGCCAGTGTGGGGGCTAACATCAGCCAGAAGCACAAATCCCTGATCAGGTTTTACCTCCAGAAAGTTGTCATGGCCGCAGTGAGCGTAGGAGTTGAGAAACACGCTGTAGAAACCTTTGTCTGACTCAGTTTTCAAGAAAAGTATTGCCAGGACAAAGGCACAAAACTGTACTTTGTAGTTCAGCAACCACTGTGGCCAGATGTTGATGCCCATCTTTCAATTATCAAGCAGGAAAATCAATTCTACCCTGCAGATATAACAAAATTACAGGAAACATTTTAACAAAGAAGAAAGCATTTTTGAATACTGTAGTGTATTTTTTCCCTGTCCTTTTCTTAACTGTAACACATAAGTCACATTTAAAAAAAAAGTTAAGTGCTTTTTTATATCCCTGGCACATCCAATATATGGTACTAAATCCAAATTTTGGCAATATATTAAATAAACTACTATTTGCTGATGATCAGTGCTTGTTCAACAATGAGGAAGACAAACTGCAAGACCACATTAACACGTTAAACTCAGCATGAGATAGACACATCATAAAGTTCAATACAAACACAACTCAAACAATGCAAATCAGTAGAATCCCTGGTTCACTACATTTACAGCTGAATGGTTCTGGTCTAAATCAAATTAATAATTTTAAATATCTGGGAAGTGTCATAACGGAAGATTGGCTAATAAACAGCATCCTGTCTAGGAAGCTGAAATATTCTGGTCATATCAAGCGGCGGATTAGAAATTATAGCAGAAGGCATGGTACCAGGAAGGAGGGGCAGGGGCCGACCAACACAGAGATGGGCAGAGGATATAAGTGACTCTTTGAGTATGAAAGTGCATGAGGCGGGAGAGCTGGCAAGAGACCGAGTTTCTTTCAAGCAGACCTGATGAGAGTGACATTCTGCAAAGGACCTGCAACATGATGATGTCATAATGGAACATGGCAGAATTGACAGAGAAATAGAAATCAGATGTCGGAAGGCAACTGCACTTGTATTCCACCTGTCACCATTATTTTAACATCCAAACATAACCAGGATTGAACGAAGAAGTTGTAAACAGCATATTCATATAAACTTGAAGCCACCAGTACCAAACATGGACACATGGGGTTTAAAGTCCATATATGCAAAATCATCACTTGCTATCTGAGATGCAGGAGAGAAGCCACCAATTTAACCATCTGAGATTAACAGCAGATCAAGTGCTTAGGCCAACACATTAGAATGCAGAAACAATAAATAACCATCACAGGCACTACATTTTAGAAACTCAGCTACAAAAGCAAGAGAACGGCCATAAAAGACATGGATCAGCAACATTAAAGACACTTTACGCCTTCACTGCATTATAATAGCTAGTGCCAGCTAGCGTGCACTTGACAGCAAATTATTCGTCCTCAGAATGCTTAACAGCAGAAGTGATTTATGATGAATATATGGTGCTAAATCCAAATTTAGGTACACCAAATATATGGTATTAAATAATCAGACTATCCTCCGTATAACGGTCCCAAATTATCGAGGCCGAAAAAATACCGTAACAGGGCCTCAGGCGTATGTAAATTGCGGAACTCTTTCCGGCGACTATACGTCCACCGCCTAGAGTATCTCCCGTGCAGCTACGCGCGGGGAGTGGGGCTAAACTACATGGTTGGAACTCACAAGCAAATAAAATGGAGGAAGTTTTATTTGGCTATCAGATGTAAATATGAACTGATAACAGGATGATGTGCAAAAGAAACTCTAAGATGAACACAACAGAGAGGTCAACAAAGGTGCTAGATGTAGATGTAGTCAAGGCCCATTCGGAGGCAACATAGAACACGTGATATCTCCGGCCGGTGACAACAACTAGTAAAATGGTATGAGTTGTTGGCCGGTCACTAAGCCTACACCCCCGCAACATAGCACATGCCCTGCGAGACGGCAATTTATCAATGGAAAGGGAAGTCACTTCCCTTCTGGGCCCGTGAGACACGTGAGATGCACCAATATTTTTAAATGAAACAGTTAAATTCAAAGTTTAACCTTTGACACTGTTAGAATGCGCCTTTCATATCTGTTCTGCACATACAGTGTTACATGAAAACTGTAATGAGATATTCACTTGATGGTAACAAGTTTCATATTGCTGACGCCACCTGCCTCCGCTTACACTCCTAGCAGACGAAGCTGGTCTCATTGTGTTTTGTTTCGTTTCTCCAATTCGAATTTTGTTGGACACAAGTTTTGAACAAGTTTAACCTGCTGTGAACAGTCTCAGATATAATTGTGGCCTAGATTCTTTGTGCCAAGTGTATTGGCTAAGATTTACCTATGCCAAATTTAAAGACTTTATTGGCTGATTTATATCAAGACTGTTGGTAAAGAATCCACTGCTATGCGTTTCGTTTTATTTCTTTACGATTTAAGTTTTGTACTTCATAGAATTTGACTATTGGTAGGGAAGTCGAACAGAAACGTAGACGTAAAGGACCTGATTCTCCACCTTTAGATGTTGTGGGTGTGCGCCTCTGTCTTAAAAAATGGAAATACGAATCGGGAGTCAATATTTTAGGTCGTAAATTAAATGACTGTCATCACGGTGCACCCTCCCTCTACCTCACAACTTTTCTTGGCTTAAAAAAAAAAAGAGGAGTTAGCAATCCTCTCTAACTTGAGAGTTTTCATTGTCAAGAACGTCAGAAGAACGCCTTACAAAAATAAAAGCACTCACCTCTTAGGCTCAGCCCCCCCCCCCCCCCCCCACCCACCCCCCGCTTTCACCACAAAATTATTACAGGTAGTAATGGCAGTTTTTGGGTGCAAATGATGTAACAGATCCACGTTTTTATTGGCCAGGTTATACTGTATAAGTATATACAAAATTTCCGATTCACATTTTAGAGATCATCTCGGAGGGCTCATACGGTTTCGAACTCAAGATCTTCGGGTCAGAGGTCAAGCACTGCAGCTCACGAAGACTTGGTTTGATTCACTAGACAAACTATGGATGTTCTCACCCTGGGCCCTGTTTGTTTTCTGAGGCATTTCCTAGGGCCTTTTTGTTTGTTTCATGTGACCTGTTTGTTTGTTTCCTGGGGAGCGTTAGTTTGTTTTCTGGATCCTGTTTGTTTGTTTCATGGGGCCTGTTTGTTTGTTTCCTTAGGTATGTTTGTGTGTTTCCTTGGGCCTTTTTGTTTCCTGGGTCCTGTTTGTTTCCTGGGCCCTAGGTCTAATTGTTTCCTGGGTTTTGTTTGTTTCCTGGGCCCTATTTGTTTCCTGGGTCCTGTTTGTTTCCTGGGCCCTATTTGTTTCCTGGGTCCTGTTTGTTTCCTGGGGACTGTTTGTATGTTTCATAGGGAGATTTTTGTTTGTTTCCTGGGGCCTGTGTTTGTTTCATGGGGTCTATTTGTTTATTTCCTAGGCCCTGTTTGTTTCCTGTTTCCTGGAGGTATTCCTGTGTTTGTTTGTTTCCTGGACCCTGTTTTCTTTTCCTGAGCCCTGTTTGTATCCTGGGCCCTGTTTGTTTTCAAGACTTTTTTGTTTTCTGAGCCCTAGGCTTTGTTTGTTTCCTGGGTCCTGTTTTTTCTGTTTTTCCTGGGGCCCTGTTTGTTTCCCCGGCCTTGTTTGTTTCCGGGGCCCTGTTTGTTTATTTCCTGGGTCGTGTTTGTTTGTTTCCTGGGCCCTGTTTGTTTGTTTCCTGGGAACTGTGTTTGTTTCATGGGGTCTATTTGTTTATTTCCTAGGCCCTGTTTGTTTCCTGAGGACTGTGTTTGTTTCATGGGGTCTATTTGTTTATTTCCTAGCCCTGTTTGTTTCATGAGGCCTTTCCTGGAGAGTATTTGTTTCCTGGGGACTGTTTGTTTGTTTTAATGGGAGTTTTGTGTTTGTTTCCTGAGGCCTGTGTTCGTTTCATGGGGTCTATTTGTTTGTTTCCTGGGCCCTGTTTGTTTCCTGGGCCCTGTTTGTTTGTTTCATGAGGACTGTGTTTGTTTCATGGGGTCTATTTGTTTATTTCCTAGCCCTGTTTGTTTCATGAGGCCTTTCCTGGAGACTGTTTTTTTGTTTTAAAGGTAGTTTTGTGTTTGTTTCCTGAGCCCTGTTTGTTTCCTAGGGCATGTTTGTTTGTTTCCTAGGCCCTGTTTGTTGGTTTATTTTCTGTGCCCTGTTTGTTTCCTGGGCCCTGTTTGTTTCCCCGGCCTTGTTTGTTTCCGGGGCCCTGTTTGTTTATTTCCTGGGTCCTGTTTGTTTGTTTCCTGGGCCCTGTTTGTTTGTTTCCTGGGAACTGTGTTTGTTTCATGGGGTCTATTTGTTTTGTTTCATGGGCTCTGTTTGTTTGTTTTTTGAGGACTGTGTTTGTTTCATGGGCCTATTTATTTATTTCGTAGCCCTGTTTGTTTCATGAGGCCTTTTGTTTTGTTTCATGGGGACTGTTTGCTTGTTTCATGGGCCTTGTTTGTTTGTTTCCTGGGAACTGTGTTTGTTTCATAGGGTCTATTTGTTTATTTCCTAGGCCCTGTTTGTTTGTTTCCTGAGGACTGTGTTTGTTTCATGGGGTCTATTTGTTTATTTCCTAGCCCTCATTGTTTCATGAGGCCTTTCCTGGAGAGTATTTGTTTCCTGGGGACTGTTTGTTTGTTTTAAAAAGAGTTTTGTGTTTGTTTCCTGAGGCCTGTGTTTGTTTCATGGGGTCTATTTGTTTGTTTCCTGTGCCCTGTTTGTTTCCTGGGCCCTGTTTGTTTTCAAGACTTTTTTGTTTTCTAAGCCTTGTTTCTTGAGCCCTGTTTGTTTCCTGGGGCATGTTTGTTTGTTTGTTTCCTAGGCCCAGTTTGTTTGTTTGTTTCCTGTGCCCTGTTTGTTTCCTGGGCCCTATTTGTTTCCTCGGCTTTGTTTGTTTGTTCCCTAGGGCCCTGTTTGTTTGTTTCCGGGGCCCTGTTTGTTTGTTCCCTGTGCCCTGTTTGTTTCCTGGGCCTTGTTTGTTTTATGGGCCCTGTTTGTTTGTTTCCTGTGCCCTGTTTGTTTCTTGTGCCCAATTTGTTTCCTGTGCCCTGTTTGTTTCCTGGGCCCTGTTTATTTTATGGGCCCAGTTTGCTTGCTTCCTGGACCCTGTTTGTTTTCTGGGCCCTGTTTGTTTTCTGGGCCCTGTTTGTTTCCTGGGCCCTGTTTGTTTCCTGTGCCCTATTTGTTTGTTACCTGTGCCCTGTTTGTTTGTTTCATGAGCCCTGT